ATCTGAACTCGTCAGACATGTATCGAAAGATACATGATCGCCTAAGCGTGTATCAACATAGCACATAACTGAATGAAGGAAGCAGGATGGAATAGTGGATAGTGGCTCAGATTGAGGAATCGGAGAACCAAGTTCGACTTCCAGTCAAATCCATTACATTCCCTTACGTGCTCATACTCTTAAGAAACGTATGAATCCTCTTCTTCTCCCCTAACTATGGATAAATAGCAGAAAAGATAGGGCTCTATAGTCTTGAATGCCAATTGGTCTACAGCAGAAAGAAATGACAATTTACTGCGCGAAAAAAATCTGCCTCGTCAGTCATGAATCGAAAGATACATGATCGCCTAAGCGTGTATCACGCATGGCCCATAACTGACTGAAGGAAGCACGATGGAATAGTGGATAAGGGCTCGGATTGAGGAATAGGAGAACCGAGTTCGAATTCCAGTCGAATCCATTACATTCATTTACGTGCTAATACTCTTGGGAGACGTATTAATCCTCTTCTTCTCCCCCAGTTATGGATAAATAGCAGGAAAGACCGGGTTCTATAGCCTTTGATGACAACACATTTAAGGGCAACCTACTGCGGGGAAAAAAATCCGCCTTATCAGTCATGTATCGAAAGATACATGATCGCCGAAGAGTGTATCACGCATGGCACATAACTGACTAACGAAAACACGTTAGGCTAAATACTGGAAACATCTACAATTAGAAAAAAAAAACACACACACAGAAAACAGTAGGATGTTATGGTAAGTTTGTTCTAACAATTGAAATTGATAGGAATTTATTGAAGTAATGAACGATTTTTTTTTTGTTATAGTTAATAAAACATTTATTCCCTGCGTTTCTGAACAATTTAACACATCTGTCTGAGCTGCTGAGTCAAAATTCGCAAATAATTGCCATGTAATGTTTCACGGTAGATATGAAAATAGTTACAAAATGTATGACCATCAAACTTAACAGGGAGAGAGTATGAGTACATGCCTTCACTCTACCGCCAGAATTCTTCATGGCAATCTTTTTTTATCCAAAACACTTGCATAAAGCACAATGAAAAAGCAGTTTTTTTTGTATGTCTGTACTAGTGAGCTAGCCTAAATGAGCTGACTCATTTTATAGTTCACCAATAGAAGGGTTAACCAATCAGAAAGCTCAAAATATTCAATGCGACGTGTGTACAAAGGCAGACATTTTATTTTCTCCCAAATTGTCTGCACTGCCAACCTGATATCTTAAACTTAAAGAATTACTTAACAACCGATACTTTCTCTGAATCTTCACTGCCGACCACTGATATTGAACAGATTACGGACATCACTGGATTCCATATTCAGAGGTCAACCATGGTCAACACAGACATATTGCTATAATGTTCGATGACATTTAAATATTACGACTTTTCTGATTGGGTCTTAAAAATAAGAGAACCAATATCAAAACACGACACAAGTGTATATCTATCGTTCAACCGGTGGCAGATCATTACGTCATTTTTCCCTACCAACGGTAAAGCGACGGTCAGGTCTGAAAAAGTTAAAAAGAGACATATCCATAAAAGGCATAGCACGTGGAATCAGAACAATCTACCCTGGTGAACTAAATAAAGTATTCAGTTGGAAATTCCATAGTATATCACTTGAAGATGGTCGGAAAGTACAACGGCCGAAATGCCGTGAATATATCAATAAAGATGAGGAAAAAAGTACATGTAAATTATATAAATAATTACAATACCTGATTTTAGAAATATAGACAGACCTTAATTATTTTTTAAATAATGTTATTTGTCGATCAAAAATGTGTCTTACAACGCCATTGTTACAAAACCCTTCAGTAATGTTACATCAGATATAACGTTAATGAAGCATTTCACAAGGTAATCTTAATTTATTAACGCTTTAAGCCCTACGTTCCTGAACAATTTTAACCTTTCTGCCTGAGCTCCTGAGTCAAACCGCCCTGGGTATGACGATAAACTACATCCGCGTCCTGGGTATGACGATAAACTACATCCGCTTCCTGGGTAAGACTATAAACTACGCCCAACAGCAAGGCCTCTGATCACGATGTTTGAGGAGCGTAGAACCACCTCTTAATTGCTGGTGTTCCCAGGTTCAACTAGACTCGGGGTGGTAACACCTGTTGGGGTCCCAGCTATGGGCAAATAGTTAACCTCGAATCTGAGGTAAAAAGCATTATAAAAGTGTAAAAATAGGTTTTAATACCAGAAATACTTTGTAAAAATTATTACCAGAAATAAATTTTTAACGAAAAATAACTATTACCAGCAATATATCTTTGAAAAGTAATATTACCAGCAATACGTTTTTGAAAAAAAAATATATAACCAGCAATACATTTTATTAAAAATAATATTACCAGCTAGACATTTTTGAGGAAAAAAATATTACCAGAAATATATTTTTGACAAAACAAAATATTACCAGAAAAAAAAAGTCGGCATTAAATAACCTATTGAGGTTGATATGCTGTAAAACACATCAAACCAAACCAAACCTGAGTCAAAATTCGCAAACAATTGTTATGTAAGTTTTCACGGTATATATAAAAATAGTTACAAGTGTTTACCCACCGTTAAACCGGTGACTGAGCATAAAGTTATTTTTCTCTACCACCGGTAAATCGGTGGTCAGGTGTCAAAGGGTTAACACTTGGTGTTATCAGCGAAACATGTATTGTAACTATAGTGTGTCCCTAAAATCTGGACATATAGGAAATCTCATTAACTATATATATTTTTGTCTCCCCAGATTAAACATGATTTTGTCGAAAGAAGAAAGAATTAAATTTTTTTTTAGGGGCTGCTAAAGAAGAAGGTGTAACCAATTAAAATCCCAGATGCAACACACTTGATTGAAGGCATAAAGAATGAATATGCTCAAATTGACGGCAATGTAAAGTTATTGCATCGAGTTCAAGTGAATCTTGCAAAACCCATCAACCTTTGTATCAAATAATACAAATCATTTTAAAAATGTTATTTGTTAAAATTCTAATTCAGCAAAATGTTGTATAAATTTTAATTTCTTTAAAATATGCATTTTTTTCTAATGTGTCCAGACTATAGGTACAGCCTGTATAATACTATTTTTTAGCGGGTGAATATTTTATTAGTAACTAGCAGTAGAGCCCGGCGTTGCCCGGGGATGTAACAGTAAGAGATAGATCAAGTATCGCCCATCATAGAGGCTGAAAAATAAAATTGACAAAGATTATTGTTTAAGGTTGACGGACACGCATGTCTTAATTAGTTCTTTTTGTTTTGTTTTGTATTTTTTTTTTTTACGAATTGGTCAAACCGAAACTCAAACAAAAACATTGTTTTCAATCGTTATGAGTCTACCGATTGAATAGAATTTTATTATAAACAATTGTCTTGTAAATGGAATTTTTAAAGCATTCTGAATGTAAAAATAAAGAAAAAAGTGTGCAAGACAATAAGAAACACTACCTGCCAAAATAAAACTGAAGTTTTGTTGAAATCGGTTGAAAAATGTAGGAAATCCGATCCCATATATAAAGAAACACACACACACACAAGCAACCTGGGTTTTATAATAAGTATAACTCGATATGAGTTGTCCCCCTTTCATTCTCACCAGCGATGCCTCTTTTTAAATTGATTTCGTGCAAAAACAATTGTTTTTCCAATTTTTGGCACTGTCAGAACCACCACAAGGTAAGTTTTGTTGAAATCGGTTGAAAAATGTAGGAAATCTGATCCACTATATAAACGAACACACACACACACACACACACACACACACACACACACACACACACACACACACACGCGCGCGCGCAACCTGGGTGTTATGATAAGTATGATTTTTGGATAATAACAATATTTCACATATTGCTATTTAAACCATTTGAGGAAAAAAAATTAGGGGGATATTTTCACTAAACGATTTAAATATTAAATAATTGAATCTCATGATAGTTTTTTGGCAATATAAAATTCAGTTTTAATCTGTGCTGAATATGAAGAAAAATTTATCTAGCGTCTTATAAGACAAGTTAATCTGTATATGTATCTGGGAATATTAATATTAGCCGTTTCCTTATAAGGAAATATTTGGCATTCATTGACCGATCAGCCATTGCTACTGTCGGTTATAATTTATAATAGCTTTCTCATAAATAATTTTTTCAGGAGAATAAGTCCTGTAGCCTATAGCACTCTTTCCAGTATTGATGGGTATTTCCTTCCTAACCTTTTCTTTGAAGTAGTGTGGAATGTCATCATCTTCAATATGAGATTATTTTCTCTTCCAGTTATATTTTATATCCATTTTAGTTGTCGCCCAAGTGATGTGCTTTCTTTATTTTGGTACAGCACTTTATTTGTGATTGTGTAGCGCCAGTCCACAATCTTAAAAGAAGGATGATCTTCGCTAAAATACATAGGTCTCACTCACTCAAAATAATCGCTTTTATACAACTGACCGTTTAGTTATTTCTGAACGGGTCAGGCACCATCCATATTAAAGTCGCAATCTTACGGTTTATCAACCCTATGCAGGTTATTTAAAGCCAGAAAATATTTTTAGATTGTAAGTATTTGGGAGGAGATAATAAAAAAATATGATACAAGTCTTACTAATTAACCCATACCTGGGGAGAGAAAGGTGGCTTCTATTCTTTCCGAAGGGTAGTTGCATGTAAGTGAATCTAACGGACCCAATTGGAATTGGAACTCGGCTCTGCGATTAACATTTCCGAAAGATTAGCCATTACATTAATCGCTCATCCATGCATAGAGAAACTGATATTCCCAATAGAGATAGATTGATAGATAGACAGAAAGAAACAGACTAAGACAGAAACATAGATGAATAAGTAGATAAAAAAAGACAAATAGATGGATAAGTAGAAAGAAAAAAAGAAAGAAAGAGAGAGAGATAGATGGAAAGCCTGATATATAGAAATAAACAGAAATAGATGGATAAGTTGATATAAACAAAGTAAAGATAGATAGATAGATAGATAGATAGATAGATAGATAGAATGAAGCAGAGATAGTTAAATACATAGAGACATACATGGATAGATACTGAATAAATTAAGATGCATAGATAGATAATGAATAAACTAAGATAGATAGATAGATAGATAGATAGATAGATAGATAGATAGATAGATGAGTAGAAAGAAAGAGAGGAAGAAAGAAAGAAAGATAGAGAGAGAGATGGATAGCCTGATAGGTAGAAATAAACAGAAATATATGGATAAATAGATATAAAGAAGGAAACATAGATAGATAGAATTAAACAGAGATAGATAGTTAAATAGATAGATAGATAGATAGATAGATAGATAGATAGATAGATAGATAGATAAAATTAAACAGAGATAGATAGTTAAATATATAGATAGACACATAGATAATGAATAAATCGAGATAGATAGATAGAATTAAACAGAGATAGTTAAATATATAGATAGACACATAGATAGATAGATAGATAGATAGATAGATAGATAGATAGATAGATAGATAGATAGATAGATAGATAGATAGATAGATAGATAGATAGAATTAAATAGAGATAGATAGTTAAATATATAGATAGACACATAGATAATGAATAAATCACAATAGATAGATAGATAGATAGATAATGAATAAATTAAGATAGATGGATCATGAATAGACTAAAATAGATAGATAGATATGAAGAGACTGAAACAGACAGACAGATAGATAGATAGATAGATAGATAGAAGATAGATAGATAGATAGATAGATAGATAGTGAATAAACTAAGATAGATAGATAAATAGATCGATAAATAGATAGACATATAGTTAGATAAATAGGTAGAATGAAACAGAGATAGTTAAATATATAGAGACAAACATGGATAGATACAGATTAAATTGAGATGCATAGATAGATAATGAATAAACTAAGATAGATAGATAGATAGATAGATAGTGAGTAGAAAGAAAGGAAGAAAGAAAGAAAGATAGAGAGATAGATAGATAGATGGATAGCCTGATAGGTAGAAATAAACAAAAATATATGGATAAATAGATATAAAGAAAGAAACATAGATAGATAGATAGAATTAAACAGAGATAGATAGTTAAATAGATAGATATAATTAAACAGAGATAGATAGTTAGATATATAGATAGACACATAGATAATGAATAAATCAAGATAGATAGATAGATAGATAGATAGATAATGAATAAATTAATATAGATGGATAATGAATAAACTAAAATAGATAGATAGATAGATAGATATGAAGAGACTGACAGACAGACAGACAGACAGACAGATAGATAGATAGATAGATAGATAGATAGATAGATAGATAGTGAATAAACTAAGATAGATAGATAAATAGATAGATAAATAGATAGACAGATACATAGATAAATAGGTAGAATGAAACAGAGATAGTTAGATACATAGAGACATACATGGATAGATACTGAATAAATTAAGATGCATAGATAGATAATGAATAAACTAAGATAGATAGATAGATAGATAGATAGATAGATAGATAGATAGATAGTGAGTAGAAAGAAAGGAAGAAAGAAAGAAACATAGATAGATAGATGGATAGCCTGATAGGTAGAAATAAACAGAAATATATGGATAAATAGATATAAGGAAGGAAACATAGATAGATAGATAGATAGATAGATAGATAGATAGATAGATAGATAGAATTAAACAGAGATAGATAGTTAAATATATAGATAGACACATAGATAATGAATAAATCAAGATAGATAGATAGATAGATAGATAGATATAAAGAGGCTGAGATAGATAGATAGATAGATAGATAGATAGATAGATAGATAGATAGTGAATAAACTAAGATAGATAGACCGATATAAAGATAGATAGATAGATTATGAATAAACTAAGATAGATAGATATATATGTAACTGACCTATTTGAATACTGATCACAGTATTCGAGCCAATTGAGATACCCTATTTTCATCTTTAACAAATGCCGATATTCGAAGTTAAAATAAACCCTAGATTTCTTAATGGCACATATTTTTTTTAACTATTCTATTGCACGTCCTCGTTACTTGATTGTACTTGTAAAATACACACGCCTGTTGCTGCATCGATAATTCTCTCAGCAAACTAACTGCGTCTGCATAGGTTCAACGCAAAA